CCTACTCCAGAGAGTGTAGCAGAAACAGCTCTTAAAAAAAGCTAATGATTATAATCCCAGGGGAGTATAGTGATATAGAAATCCCCAGCGGTTTCCCCCACATGTGAGATGAGACTCTATGTTGAGGGTAAGCAGGAACACAATTTTAATGGAGGCACACTGGCCTTTTATGCAAGTTTCCCAACAAGGGTGACACCCAGGTGGACCTTGTTGGGCACAGGGACACAAAGTTAAACCAATAAAAACAGAGTTATACAGTGAGACACTTCCATACCGGATACACAATCCCTCCCCTCTGCCTGGGTGATAATTAAGGCAGATAATGCATTAACTTAATTATCCCCAGGCAGGAAAAACATTTTTATGTACCCCAAAACACAACATATCCCCAATAAATCCACTGCTAGCCCTGATCTGGATGAACAACAAAAATCACCCAGATCAGAGCAGGGGTTCAGGAAATTTCTGGAAGTCTCTTTTTGACTGACCGCACGGTTTCATGCTCAAAACAGTTCCAGAGAATTAGGCTGTGCGGCCAGTCTATTTCAAACAGTCGAAGTACCGTTCGAATTACCAAACATAATGGTTGATGAACATAGTCAGTGTGAGACCCTTGTTCGTGGGCTTTGACTCACTAAATGCCGTTCGACTCCCGTTTGAATAGCCAAAGTTCCCTAGAGGGTAACTGTAAAGCGGTGTTCGTGCCATCGCGTGTCTGATTTGAGTTCCATGACGACAAAACACAGCTGAACACGTTCAACTAAACAAGATGGCCACTGCCACGTGTTTGAATGTAGAATGGCGGCCACCCAGCCATTCATCAATTTGGCTGCACGAACATGCAATGGTTTTAGAACAGACTTAGACAAAATGCAGCCGTAAAGTGAGGACCTGACCCGTGCATGGTGCCGTGGGACTGATGCCTGGCATAACGGGTAGGTTGACTTAGGGTTTGTGAGTCACTTTGACACCATCCACGGCGATGGATTGAAGAAAGAAGGTGGTAGGCCGGAAAAGCCTGTAGCTGGATTCCTGACACAGCTCAGAAAACTTCATGGAGTAATCAGGTAAAATGGTGTCTGGATGCCCTGAAAGTGGAAATCATTCTGATGCTGACCTCAAGCGATTTGAGTCAGGTAAGGGGTGTGCCTTACATAGGGGAGTGAATTAATTTAAGCCCCTCCCACAAAATACAGGCAAAACGGCCTTAATACATACATACAGGCCCGGACTGGCCATCGGGCATACCGGGCAAATGCCCGGTGGGCCGCGATGGCTGTGGGGCCGAGGCCGGCAGGGGAGATCACAGGATCTCCCCGGCCGGCTCCTGCAGGGCCAGCGCTACCCGAGCGCCGGCCCCGCTGTGTGCCTCCATGGGCCGGTGGGGAGATCAAAGATCTCCCTTTACCGGCCCAGAGAAAATTCCAGGCGGCCGCTTGCTGGGGTGTGAGGGAGGGAGGAGAGGACCGGCGGAGCTCTATCCAGCAGCTCCGCCGGGTCCTCTCGCGGGATTCTGAGCGTTGCCGCGGTTACCGCGGCAACGCTCAGATCTCGCGAGAGTGAACTCTAGCCTACAGGCTAGAGTTCACGCTCACCACTAGGACCACCAGGGATCAGGCAGCAAGGCCTTTCCCATGGCAGAACGGCTCCCCCCCCCGTCCCAGGCAAAACGGCCCCCCCCTCCCAGGCTAAAGGTAAGAAGGGAGGGGGGGGATATAACTTTTTTTTTAAAATTATTATTATTAATTAAAAAAAAAAAAATTTAAATTAAAAAAAATCACACTCACACACATCACCCCCAGACACACACACATCACCCCCAGACACACACATCACCCCCAGACACACACATCACCCCCAGACATACACAGCACCCAGACACACACAGCACCCCCAGACACACAGCACCCAGACACACACAGCACCCCCAGACACACAAAGCACCCCCAGACACACACAGCACCCAGACACACACAGCACCCAGACACACACAGTACCCCCAGACACACACAGTACCCCCAGACACACACAGCAACCCCAGACACACACAGCACCCCCAGACACACACAGCACCCCCAGACACACACAGCGCACCCAGACACACACAGCGCACTCACTCACACACAGCGCCCTCACTCACACACAGCACCCTCACTCACACACAGCACCCTCGCTCACACACACACACACATATATATATATATATATATATATATATATATAAAATAACCCTCAGTGAGTTAACAGACAAAGAAAATTAGAATCTGACGGCAGATAAAAACACCCTCACACACAGCACCCCTCTTACATACACACACACTGCGCCCCTCACACATACAATACGTCCAAATATATATGTATGTATATATATATATATATACACACACACACACACACACACACTACAGCACTACATACATTACGCTCCAGATACACGCTAGATCCCTTACCTTATATGCACTCTTAATCCTCTATACATACACACACACACAATCTCCTATACACACTCTGGGTCCTTTACACACTAGATCTCCTACACACACACTGCACCACCTACACACACACTACATTCCTTGTCAGCAAACACATACAACTTTCTCTAAACACACCCTCTCTACAACCCCTACACACACTACATCACCTATACCCACACACTACAGCCCGTATGCACACACTCGCTACATCCCCTATAACACTATGCCACCTATACACACACTCTCTACAGCCCCTAGCCACACATATTACACCACAAACACATATGAAATTGACCTATTTACACAATACCACACCACACTCTACACACACGCAATCCCACAAGCAGGCTCCAAACACATGCACCATACACTTTCCTGGCCCTTTTGTCCTCTGGTATCCCACTTGTTGAGACACCAGAGACAATTTAAAAGCAAACACAGCGCAAGCATGTTATTAAATTTGCTTGCGCTGCGCAGAACAAATTCAGGGCCTTTTTCTAATGCCAGAGCTCTTCAGCAGGGCTCTGGGCATTGAACCAACATGCTCACTTTGAGAGGGGGCGTGCTTGTCATTAGTGATGACAAAACACACCCTCTCTGGCCCCGCCCCCTTCTTAGGGGGCCGCTCTGATTGAAAAATGCCCGGGCCTAATTTTTTCCCCAGTCCGGCCCTGCATACATATATACACACACACACACACACACACACGTGTTCCAAGCAGTTGTATACTGCAAACACAGATTAAAAGGAATCCATGTTTAAAATGGAATGAGCCAAAAATGTGATTCTTTGTTAAACTAATTTGCATATGCCCACCTACAATCCTTTGCGGTTGTAACATCACTGCAGATTTGGGATTTCTGTGGGAAAAGCAAGTCTTATGGCTTGACTGGTGTGCAGATTTTTGTTTAACATTGTATTAACTATATAATTATACTTTTTCCCCAATGGGGAAAAAAAATAAATTGTAAAAGCTTCAAATATCTGGTCTGAAGCCTTTGCTTCAGCCTCCCCTTCTAGCTCCACCCAGATTTCGGTCCAATCACAGACTCCCCAATGCAGGTCAATAAAGAAGTCTTTCCAAGGCAGGTGCTCTGAGCAATTGAAGCTAAACAACCAGGAAGTATCAGGACTGGTGTCTGATTGACAGCTGGGGGGGTGGAACAAACTTCATTTACAACAGTGCCGATCTCTACTTTGTGCAAAAAAAACAAAAAAAACAAAAAAAAAAACACAACACTAAAAATATATTCATTTATTTTCAAATTTGTTAAACAGACAGTCCAGGAAGTATACCAGAGGTGTACTTTAGTTCTGAAACATCTGGGCACCAAATACAAATCATCACACAGAGAATACATTAAGAAAAACGTCTCATCATAACTATAACCATTAGAAGAACCGGCCAAAGGTGAAGTACAAACAGGTTTTACAGATCAGCCAACTATCTGACTAGGACAGGGGTAGGCAACCTCCGGCACTCCAGATGTTGTGGACTACATCCCCCACAATGCTCTTACAGGCAAAGGATCATGGGAGGTGTAGTCCAAACCATCTGCAGTGCCGAAGGTTGCTTATTCCTGGAGTAGGAGATTGATAAACCTGGTCCTTTTTAGAACGACACAGAAAATCTGGGATGTTTGTACTGGTCAAGGACCAGAGAGACACCATGGAATAGAACAGCTGATTTTTACAATACGGTGTTACAACCGTTTATAAAGGTCAACAAAACAAAGCAGAAAACTTGCCAAACAATATACAGTAAGAAATGGTCCACAAAATAAAAAAAAATAAAAAAAAAACACCCAAAAGATTAAAAAATATAAATAATAAGATATGCGCTGTACCATGTCGCCACGTGTGCAGTCCGGCAAAAAAGTGTGAGTCTTAAAAAGAAAGGATTTCAATAAATATTTCCATAAAGCGGCTATTGGAGCTACTATGGTTTATATTAGTTGTTGCCAGGTTTGCTGGTAAAATAAATGACTGAGGAGGGGGACGGGGAATTACATCTTTATAGAAACCCACTCACACATCAAACTTTTTGCAACAGATCTTTGAGTGGACCTGTCACTTTAAAGAAAACTTAAAAAAGGACATGTCCCCTAACAATTGTACTCTCAATCCCATCGATACATCATACTGAGCTATAGTCACAATACTTAACACAGCTTAAATTTTCCAGCATTAAAATGAGGAATTGATCAGAGTTTTCACCATCTACCTAGCTGGGCAAAGTGGACAGATTCATACATAATTAACTAGGGCTCATGAGACGTATGGGTACAATACATTGGTCTGTGTAAGGGGTGGGGGGGGGGAGGGTTGATTAAGCAAAATGAGTTACGGTTCATGAAAAGCGAAATCAGCAGAGTTAGAGATTCAGTTGTTTTCAGACAACTGAACCGAAGTTGAATCACTTGAACATCTAAGAATATGCCCTTGTCAGTGCTTTTTCCAAAACCCCTAACTATAGATCAAAAATACCATCCATAGCAAAGATAGATCCCAGATCAGATGACTGATCACTTGGACCATGTTGGTTGAACCCCTATGCTAGGCAATGTCAAGCCGGAAGCTTTTCCTGGGACCGTGTCCTGAGCAGAACTACTGGAATCCAGAACATTAAATCCTTTTTTGGCCATATCAGAATTTGTCAAGTCATTTGTCATACTGCGCTTAGCCTTCTTGGCATACGGCTCTAGGTTAGAGTCCATGGGCTTAGTAAATGATCTTACACCAGACCATGTATATTGAGATTTATGCACAGTATTTCCATCGGTGGGATTTTTCGATCCATTGCAAGTTGGTCGGTTAGGTTCAGGATATTGCATTCGCTCTACAAGATGTGAAATTCTTTGCAAATCGTGCTGCAATAAAGAAAAATTATTTCCCGGAAGACCATTGTGTTGTCTTTCTGGCAGTACATAGTTCTCTTGATCTATATTTCTCAGATCTGGTACAGAGGGTAAAGCAGGTGCCCATTTAGCCTTTTCATTGAGGAGAAGCTTGGGCTGTGATGTTGGACCATTAGCTGTAAGACCACCTTGCTGTAAGGGTGAAATGTCAAATCCATTTAATGCAGCAGGGCATCCCGTACGTCTCTTTTTAATAGAAGGTCCAGTGCTTTTATATTTGGTTCCATTCTCTAGAGCAATACATGATTTGTGAGAAAGCTTATTATGAATTTCCAAAACTTCAGGGTACAAAGTATTGTAGCTACAATATTGGCATGTATTAATGTTCAGGAAAGCAAGCGTGGCAGAATATTTTTGGTTATCTTCAGCAGTTAAACTCAAATTTAATGGCAATGACAGAAGATTTACAGGAGGGGTTGCATGACTTCCTTGATGAAGTCCAAGGTCATCAGTCACTTCCATCTCTTCAGATTAAGACTGGCCAGGTAGTGCTTCATCAACATCACCATTAAGGATGAATGATGGTCTAACAGGGTCCCCATTTCCTAAAGGTGGATTTAAATCTCCAGGTGTGTTTTGAAAAGAATGAAGAAGTTTATATGGTTTCATTGGAGGTTTGCGGTCCTCTTTAGGAGTATTCACTTCCTCACTATCTGGCCTGGATCCTTTTAATGAAGAGTTGGCAGATTTTTGAGAAACTGTTTTACTCATCTGCTTCACTTTAACACTGGCATCTTCTTTCTTAAAGTGATGATGGTGTCGCAAATGGTATTTTAAAGAGGTGCCTTGTGCCGAGGTATAATCGCACATTTCACACTTGTATGGTTTTTCGCCTGCAATGATAAAAACATCTGTTAGAAGCGAGCTGTCAAAAGGCATTATTATACATTAATTTATAGAGGAGTTAGCAAAAATAAACCCCAACATGTAAATTAGTCAGTCATTCAGTGCAATAGGGGAGAAAAAAAACAAAAACAAAAAGTTAGATAGGTAATGAGCCTATATATTTGAAATGGATCGCTTATAAATGAAATATACGAAAACATGAAACAATGGCTTACCCCTCTATGGTACAATACAGCAGGGGGATGAATCTCAGAATGAAGTATATGAAATACAAAAAGCAGAAACTTGTGAAGATGGTATCAAATCCTTTAGTATTATAAATGGTAATTAAACAACGCACATGGACCTGAGGCTGTAAAAGACTGGCTCAATAGACACCACTACACCTCTTCTAGGACAGAGATCAATGCACTCCCGATATTGAAGAGGGAAGAAAGAAACATACATTAGTGTAGATTGTCTTGGGTTTATTTGCTTAACATGTATTTAAATACATCTACTATGTAAACATGCATTTAAAAACATGGACCCCATAATGCGCTTACACCCATAATTCTGGCATAGCATCATGGGAGATGTAGTCCAAAACATCTGGAGTGCCAAAGGTTGTCTATGCCTGGGCTAGAGCAATATACATCACCTATATCCTCAGAACTTGCCATTTACTCAGAGTGTGATTTTCCATGAAGACAGGGTTAGGAGTCATAGAAAATAAGAAAGTAAAAAAAAAAAAATAGTCAAATATACCCATTTTCTATCTTTGTGAGACAGGTAAGGTGCATAGATAAAAAGTCTCAAAGATTCATCATACAATTAACGATGCATGCTCATAATATAAAGATGCATATATGTGATGAAGCTACCCTGCTTATTCGGTACTTTGACTTTTTTGGTTCAGTAGTTGAAACTACCGAACACCAGCCGCCTCCCTGGCTCATTTACTTCAAGGAGAACAGTGAATTAAGTGCTTTTCCTATGTGTTCGTACAAAAGTAGGTAGTGGGACTTTTTCGTCGAGTGTCTGGAACTAAAAATCAGACACTCAACTTCCTGAACACCGGTCAAACTATGGCCACTATGAGCCAGGGGGTAACGTTCATGTATTTGTTCAGTTTCAAGACTCATGGAACTATTTCTGGGCAGGTGCCTCGTGTGCGATCGGTCAAATTAAGATATCCATAGAATTCCAAAACCCCTGAACTGATATGGATGATTTTTGGATATGTTGGTAACCCAGATCAGGGTCATCAGGGGATATAACATCTATGGGGATTTTAGGTGTTTTGGAAAAGTGTTTTTTCTGCCTGGAGATAACAGAGTTGTAGTATCTGACTCCATTATCTCCCAGGCAGAGAGGAGGGATTGTATGATACTTTGTAACTTTGCTGTTATTGGTTTGTTACTTTGTGTTAGAGTCCCCCACAAGGTCCATGTGGGAGTGCCCCTTGCATGGGTACTTGCATAAAAAGCAGTGTGTCCTAGGCTGAGGTTTGGGTAACGGTCTACTTGCTGGGGAGAAACTGCTTGGATGCTGCATTTGTCTGGGAACCATTCGAATCTACACCCGAACTGCGAGCTATAATCACTCAGGGAGGAAATAGGCAAACGGGTATCTACAATACCAGCGCTCGTAACAATATATATTTAGATTGATGAATTTAAAATGTATATTTAAACTTTTGTATTAAAAATGTATTTAATTTACTAAAAGTATCCTAATATATGACAGTATTTTTGTTCCAAAAATTCTTTAAAGGTTTTATAGAGAGTGACACAATTCGAAGTCTATATTTAGATCTGCTGGATTTAAAGTGTTGAGGTCAAATATCTACTTATCGGTTTGGCCAAGTGTTTTTATGGAATCCCCTCCAATTTCCTGAAGTTCTCTGTATTCATGAGAATGGCAAATCTACATACGATACACTACGTGCTTCAGAAAAAAAAAAATTAAGATAATTTCAATTGTGGATATGTTTTTCTATACGTGGGTGCAAGTTGCATTTTGTTTGTCCCACATACACATAATAAATGTTTGTGGAATAACACTTCAACCTTTTATAGTGAACACCTTACTTTCATGTCTTTTCTTGCTTTGGGTACTCCTACATGCCAACCATGTGCCACAAAGAAACCTTTTCCTTCATTTAATATTTTTTTCCTCTCTCCTCTTTATGCATTTTTTTGGTTTAATAATTTTTGTCTTAAGCATGGGGCACCTCTAAAAATTATCCTGTATTTATTTTTCAAACTATTCAAAAAACACTGGATCCAAAAATGATTTTTAAAAAAAAAGAAAAAAAAATGATAACAAAATAGGAAAATGCTGAACAATGTTCCTTAATTGGCTACTGTTTTGGCTATAATCACAGATCATGACCAATATTTTCTTGCTTCTCTTCTTTCAATTTTAATAGCATGTCCCTTTGGCGTATTCAACACCGAACACAATTCTTTCTAGCCTTTCATAGTGAAATTCTTTAATTTTAAAGCTTGCTCTGAAAATCTCTTTATCTGTACAATTTCTCCTTAATCTTAAAACCTGAGATTTTGGAGTTGCTCACAACCAAGGGGGAAAATGGCAATTGGAGATCTGTATGGCCATTTAAGTCTACAGATTTATAATAACATGTGCTTGGTTTGATTTTTCCTTCTTCAATAAAAACCTCAAGGTCTAAACAAATTGACTAAAATTAACAGCTACATTTATACCTCAATCATTGGAATTAAGGTAGTTAATAAAACTCAGGATCCTTACTTGGGCCCTCTCGTATTATTTATTTATTTATTTTTTAATATATATCATCTATGTACCGGCAATAGGTGACAAGGTTTTTTTGGTTTTTTTTAATTCATCAAAAAGAAATGTATGCATGCGTCGTTAATTATATGATAAAACTTTGAGAATTCAGATCTATGTCTCACAAAGCTACAAAATAGAAAGTTGGTATATTTGACATTTTTCTTTATTTTCTATGAATCAACAGTCAAAAAAAATAAAATTAAAAAAAATTAATTATATAAGACAACCACTGAGTGAATGGCAAGTTGAGGATACAGGCAATGTAATTCGCTATAGCCGATATGACGGGCGAAAGTGAAGTATCACGACACCACTTCGATGATCGAGGAATACAGGTGAACTACATTAAACGTCACAAGGAATGCAAGAGTCAGGCATTGCCATCAAAAAACCACAGGAGGACCGTATTATATAGATACTGATTACCCAACAAAGCAGAGGATTGGCCATGAAGGACCCACGTGAGCAGGAGGAAGGCCCAGTGCAAGGATACAAAAATGGAACAGAAGCTCACATCACACACACACACACACACACACACACACACACAACAGACTGATGAAGCTTGGATACAAGAAAAATGCATTTTGGCAAGTTAAAAGAACTGTATCAACTGGGACAGAGTAAATATTGTTTATACAAGTTAAATTGTTTTATGGAATGCATCTGGTCCTGCAGCTTCTATCTCTATACACAGATGGGGAATGAGTCACCCCATAAAGGGCCTTCCCACCTCAGAGCCAGGATTTTAGGGCTGCATCTAAGGTGAGCTAAACATTGGACTAAAATGTTAAGCGCATAAACCCAAGACAATCTATACTATTATAGATTATTATACTATTATTTCTTCCTTCCCTCTTCTATAGAGGGGGTACATCAAGCTCTATCCCAAGAGAGGTGTGATGCTGCCCTTAAGAGTCAGTCATTTACAGGCTCAGGTCCATATGTGTTTAATTCCCATTTATAATACTATAAGGATTTTCTACCATCTGCACCATTTCATATACTTCATTTTGAGATGCATTCCTGCTGTATTGTACCATAGAGGGGCAAGTCAGTGTTGCAGATTTTATTTGTATATTTTCTTTAGAAGCAATCCAGTTCAAATATAGGCTTATTACCAATTATATATTCAGGTGTGCGGAGGATGTATTCCCACTTGGGTTATTCCACCAATATATTCATTACTGCTATCCACACTCTCGTTAAGAGAATCCCTTTGTTTTAGTCATTCAGTGCAATTTAAAAATTAACATAGTTGTGTTCCTAGAACGGTTTGTTCTGTTGAAATAAACATTTTTGATTACCTTTAATAACGGGTCAAAAAAACATATAGAATTTCTTGAATGAGCTTATCAAAAGGATTTAAAATAAAAATAGTGTAATCTTTTTTAATGTTGTAATAGCTTGATTTTTTTAAAAATAAAATGTTTTCAGATTTTCCTTTCTAAGACTAAGAAATTATATTAAGTAATTTACCCGTGTGTTTACGGATATGGACAGTCAAATAGTAATTCGATCCAAAACTCTTTCCACAATAAGTACATTTCGAAGATTGGGATTTCTTCTTTTTTTTCTTGTGGTTATGATCGTCAATATTTTCTAAGAGGATATGGGGAAAGGCAAAAACAGAAAAAGCAACACTAATTATGGTTCCCAAGAGTACTCTCTTATAATGGTAATTTCTCAATTATACACGCATATGAAATTACGCATTTTATTTTTAGATATAAACGAAATATATAAAATATAATTCTAAAGCAGTGTGTTAGAATGTGTTAAACGTATTACTGGGCCTTAGAGTGGCTGGACTTAATGTTAGACAGAATAAAGAGTAGTTACAATACTAGCCGAGGTCAGGGTAAGAGACAGCGAAAACGAGAACTTAGCCAGAGTCAGGTACACAGTAATCAGTCAGATGGGCAAACAAGACAGGCAAGTGTTAAATAGAAATCCAGAGTCAGGACACAAAGCCAAGGTCAATACAACGCAATAACTCAAGGAACGCACTGAAGGGTACTGTGAACAAACTACAATAGTGCACAGAATCTGAAGTCAGGCAAGTTTAAAATAATACTAGGCTTCATTTGCTCGTTTCATGTCATGCCTGCACCCCCAAAACATGTGATTGGAGGCGCTGGTATAACGTGGGCCAATTGGAGCCAATCGTGAGGTAAGGCGCCCATTTCCCCATTTAAGAACATGCTCGTGATGCTGTACGGGCCACCAGGAGTGTTCGAGCCTCATGCTGATGGCATGGAGGCAGGCACAAGAACAGAGTAACGCTACAAAAAAAAAAAAAAAAAACACACACAATTACTTTACAGCAAGCATGTCAAACTCGCGGCCCAAAAGGACCATCTTTGCGGCCCGGTGAGCCGCGAGTACATGCTGAGAGAGAAAGAGAGAGACAGAGAGAGAAAGAGACCCACATAAACCTTGTTTATGTGGCCTGTGCCACACTGAGTTTGACATGCTTGGTTTACAGGGTTTTAGAGTGAAACAGTCACTCATTTCTTGATCTTTTCTGCATACTCTTTAGTAAACTCACTACATGGAGACTCACAATTCATTACAATTGGTGAGATGTATTTTTTTTTTAAATATCCAATAATTATGCACACTGAACATTTCACAGAGAATTTGTTAGATTCTGAAAATTGTGAGGATCGTAGCAGATGAAGGTCTTACCTGCTTGCATGGGTTCACTACTTGTATCTTCTGGCATTTCCCCCAAACTAACTTGCATTGGGGTTTGTTGATGTTCCACATTGGCTGCGGTATCTGAAGAAATACATGCAGTTGATTGATGAGATCAGCTCAGTACATTCTGTTGTGATCTAATACAAGCCCCAATCTGCAGACACACTAGAAGAATAAGAGACCAAGCCTGGCAGACATATTGCACAGAAGTGGGACTCCTCTTCACAGACACACACAGATGCATGCATGCATTAAGGAAGCCCTGTGGCCCAAGAAATTAACCATTGTCTTCCCAGGCTGCCATTGCACAAGCATTAGTCCATTAACATGCAGCAAAAGCATGCTGGGAAACTAAGAACTAACAAAAAGAAGAAAGTTACAGACACAGGGACCAGATCAAAAAAAAAACTAAACAAAGCTCTGTACCTTTAAAAAACAAACCCCCTAAATGCATCATAGGTCTAGTGTCACTGTGCTCCCCCGGGCCCCCCATCTAGATTCATTACAAGATAAAACCAAATACCCAGCAGCTGCAGGCAGGCTATAGGACAGATATCTGGCTCCATGTAGCATGGCCATACAAGGTTATCATAAAGCAGATAGAAGTGGCAAGTTACCTGGAGATTTGGCTACCTTGGGTCCTTGTACCTGCTGCAGTTCTTGCTCTAATTGAAGTCATTGATTGTCAGCCTAGAGGTGAATCTCTCTCTATATTGAGTTCCAAAGGCCAAGCCCCGCCAACTGATTAGAATTACAATAATGAATCTTTCTATAAACCTTTCTCCATAGACATTCCCTAAATCTCTCGCATCTGATTGGCCAGTCACTGGACACGGTTTAGTACTATGCTAATGTATGATCAGGGTAAAGCCAAAATATGTAGATACTCACTAATTGATAGAAAACAAAAAATACATCTCTTTGATGGAAAGATTAGAGGCATCACTTTTCATGAAAAGACTACCGACTTAACTTTTCATGCAAAATAAACTATTTAAAAAAACAAATTTTCATGTAAAGTTTAGAGGCATCACATATATGGAAAATAAACTAAAACAAAAATATCCCTTTAATCGGAATGATTAGAGGCATCACTTTTCATGGAACATTAAATAAACCAAAAAAAAAAACATAACGTTTCTTGGAAAGATTAGAGGCATCACTTTTCATAGTAAATAAAACAAAACAAAAAAAACATCCTTTTTCGTAGAATGATTAAAGGTATCACTTTTTATGGAAAATAAAATATTTTTAAAAGTATCCCTTTTCATGTAAAAACAAAACCAAAATAATGGAAAATAAAATAAAACAAGAAAAACATCCCTTTTCATATAAAGCTTAGAAGCATCACTTTTATTGGAAAATAAAACAAAACAAAAAAATGTCATCCCTTTTGATGAAAAGATTAGTGGCATCACTTTTCATGGAAAATTACTTTTTTTTTTTAATCATCTCTTTTTTTGTATTTTTTTAATTGTTCAAACATAGAAGACAGTACATTTGACGTGTCTCAGAAAGAAAATATGGCGATAGATTGGGATACAGAAAAGAAAGGGGGAAGAGGGTATAACCTCGTCGTGCACATCACATCGGTGGTAAGTGTGACATTGGTAGACAGCATATATCATGTTACATTTATACATAACACTTACATATACCAATATACAACACCCATATACAACGTTTGCATATGTCATGTTACATTTCATTTCAGGTAGTTAGTTTGGCGCCCGCATGGATACAAGTGGCAACCCACACTCACACCAGACACTCCCTCCCCCCTGCTCGTGAACCTCACTATGCACTCACACATGTCCACCCACATGCACCGCTTTAGCTGCCATGTTGAAGGTATGTTACCCATGGCGACCATTGGTCTTCGAAGGTTTTCCTCCGCTCTGCAGAGTCAGTGGATAACTTTTCTATAGATAGTATTGTTGAATTTTATCTTTGAGTTGTGTAAAAGTGGGGCATGTACTTTGCTTCCAGTTTAGGGCTATGAGATTTCTGGCTGCTAACACAGTGATAGCTGCGATTTGTTTAGAGGCTCTGGGTGTGCCTTTGGGAAAAAGGAGAAACAGGCATGTGGTGGACGATTTATGGGTGTCTCCAATATGCAGGGCGGAGAGTATTTTGCCCACCTCTGCCCATAGTGGTTGTATAGTCGGGCACTCCCACCATGTATGGGCCATGGTCCCCTCTGCTAATCTGCATCTCCAGCAGGTTGCTGGTACTGAGGAGTATATTTTATCTAGTTTACTCGGTGTAAGGTACCATCTGTATATTATTTTTTATGTGCTTCTACATGGGAATAGCACTTTGTGAGACCTTTTAAAGCATTTAATGGTCTTTGCCATCCAGGGCCAGAAGGTCCCTGTGGGACGACGGGTTGTGCATTCCGTCCGGTAGCAAGCTGTTACACCATCCCCTTCTCGTCTGTCTGCCTATGGGACATGGGGAGCATAGGTTCCAGGCCGTGTGTCAGCCTATTCCTCTGCTGGGCTTCTGTGTGGTAGGTACTTGTGGGTTGCGGCTTGTCGGCAGGAGTCGCAGTTGGCAGGCGGTCCCTCCACAGCTCCAGGCTCCATGCAGGGTCAGCATCCGTAGGCCACTGACTCGAGGTCTCTGTGAGGCCAGGTCATTCCCATATTGGGCGCTGCGGTAAGGCCTGGTGATCTTCCAGCATCGTGGGCGATGCCTTGGAGGGAGTTCCCTCTCGACCCAAGACCTCAAAGGGCTCTTCTTGTGCTTAGCGCTGGTTTGGTGCGACGTTTCGCCCGGGATGGGCCTGCTTCGCCCTGTGATCTCACGCCCCTCCACCTATCCATGTTCCCAGAAGCGGTGAAATAGAGCATCTAGCCGCTCGTGCACGTGGGGCTCGGGTTGCAGGGGGACAAGTAGATCTGCGGCAGATTGTGAGCTGGTTCAGTGCGGACCGGGATGACCCCCGCTGGTCCAGAGGGGGGGAACCCGGGCTTTGGTTGATAGCCACTGAGTTTGGAGGCGGCGGGAGAGCGGCCGTCTCCCCCACGCCTTACGCGTGTGTAGGTCGCATGTTGGAGCAGGAACGGATGAGAAATCCACGTGTTTGGTGTCTAATGTTAGGTTTCAAGTTTCTCCGTCGTTTGGCAGCCTGTGTGTGTCCAGATGCCGCATGTATCCGTGGAAATTTCGCTCAGTAAGTCGCTTGTCACAGGAGCTCTTGCTACCTGCGTCCGCCTGGCTCGGCAGTCAGGCCCCGCCCCTTTGCAATTATTTTATAGATTCCTTTTATACATTCTAAGTTATCTAGAGATATCGGGGGAGACCGTGTAGTAATTGGAGTAATCTTGAAATAAATGAATGGCCTTGATGAATAATCCTCATCTCAAAATTGAGAGTGACTGCAATTCCTTTGTGGTACAGGAGCCTTGATAAAAACCTAGCTTAATATAATCAAGAATGAAAAAAAAAGAAGAAAAAAACCAAAGGTACAAAGCAATGTGAATCACCAAAGTGACAAAAAATAATAAATATATACCAACTGGGTATGTGGAAATATTCTGTCTCAGAGATATATCTGAAAATACATAAAAACTATATAGTGTAATATTGTTACTTCTAAATAGAAGCAAAGTGGTAGAGAACTCACAAAATTAGGTGAAATCAGGCGTATCTCCCACAATAAATAGGGAACTGTAGCAATATGGAGAACCTCCAGCGATGATCTTATAGTAGATCTTCTCATTCACTCCAAGTAAAGAGAAAAATAGATAGTGTAGATGGTACAAAATAAAACAATTTATTATAAATAAGTTGCACTTACAATGTTGCAAGTTAAAACCAGCGTGTCTCCACACCAGGTGGTATCCACATGCAATAGCTGATCCAATAGCAGCACAGGATTTTAGACAGCAGCAAAAAATGAAGAGTACAGATAAACAATTAAAATAAATAAAATAAAAAGTTCCATTTAATTTACATTGACATAATACAGACTGGGGGCTGGCAGCGAGCTGTTACTTACCTCTCCTGCAGCTCCTGTCAGCTCTCTCCTCCTCCGCGCCGGTCCGTGCAGCTCTTCTCTCAGCTCACACTGTAAGTCTCGCGAGAGCCGCACTATGACCCCGCGGCTCTCGCGAGACTTACACTGGGAGCTGACCGAGGTGCTGACTGGACCGGCGCGGAGGAGGAGATAGCTGGCAGGAGCTGCAGGAGAGGTAAGTAACAGCTCTGCCCGCCCCCAGTCTGTATTATGGCAATGTAAGTTGCCATAATACAGACACTGACTCGAGTATAAGCCGAGTTGGGGTTTTTCAGCACAAAAAATGTGCTGAAAAACTCGGCTTATACTCGAGTATATACGGTATTTCAGAGAGGAGAGACACAGTTTGAACGGATTTACACAGAGATGACACGTGGGATTTCACAATTACATTTGATCCTCGGGAGCAGTACATCCGGAGCTCCCTTGAAATTTGTTTCCTGCTGGGAAGCGGACACACAAACAACCCTTTTGGAGAACGATTTTCATCCTAGGAATGATTTGCTCCAAAATACAGGAGATGAGTGTTGAGCTTTTTGGCAAACATGTCCACAAATAGCTCCCTTCTGGAGACTAGTCCATGGTGTCATCAAGGAGCTGACCGGGACAAAACTGCTTCATTAATCTAAACTTACTTTGCTTCAAATGACCTTTAAGACTCACTAGAGGTTGTATGTACTTGATTTATATAATTGGCAGAGTTTTACATCCAGAATATTTTATGATATTGAAGCAACATCAGGAGACATTAAGTATTTAACAATAACAATTTAAACTTTACAAAATAAATATTCACAGAAATATAAAGTGACACATACCCAGAAAGAGTTCAGTTTTTCCTTTTATTTTCTCACACAATATACCTGAGCTGAATATGTACATTTATATACAATAAGTGCTGGAAAATATCACTGCACAGGATGATTTCACATTTTCTATCCTTTTATACATTTTAAATCGATACATTTAATTTAGAGATATGAAAAATAAATTCATTTATGGATATAAATTTTCTTTAAAAATAAAAAGATTTGTCCCTCATCTTTGGTCAATTTCATTGAAGAAAATATTTCAACTTTATATAGTCTATGTAAGAAAATATTTACTTGCGACTATATTTCAATATTTCAAAAATATGTGCACATACGCCGAACGCATTCCAAACAGCTTAGTCCAGATAATATTTGCATTTCACACAGTTTGTTACTAATGAACAAAAATGTCCACAATGTTCCTGAAGGTTCCAGGTATATATTTTCCAATGATGACTTCCAACTTATGCTCAACAATCCAATTAAACACGTCTGTAAAAAAAAGTGGAAAAATTGGATTAGAATTACAAATAAAGTCACATTAAACATCACTATGAGCTTTAAAATTCACAGATAAAGAAAAAAAATTTAGATTAATTAAACTTAGTGGTCTTGGCGTACAACTAGTTCATGTTAATAGTTTAACTCCATTTGAATATCAGTATGAATAATGTGTGTCTTTATCTTACCTCTTTAATAAATTATGTATTCTGAAAATCGTTTATTCTTGAGTGAAGAATCTTGTTTTGCTCGAAGACGGGAAGAGCATCTAATTCCTAAGTGTAATAAAATGAGGGGACAAAAAAAACACTGTCAAAAAATAAAACATAACAGTTTAAATCTCTTAATATATAACAATAGCATGCAAACAGTCTACCACAGTCTATCACCAACAGAACGCACACATGGTAATTGCAAGACAGTAGAAGGAAACGATTTAGGGGAATATTAAATAAACTGCCAAATTTGCTCATTTTAGCATTAAAATGAAAAAATTGCCTCAATGTTTTCACTATCTACTTAGCTTAGCCAAGTGGACCCTGCTATTTTCAAAAGGAAACCATAGCCAGATTTAACTGATACACGGTAAAAATATATATAGTTAGGTTTAACTAAGGTTCAGGGGTTCTTTGGGTGTGGGTACAATTCCTTGTTCTGTATCATCATGGGGATATGTTTAACCCAATTAAAGCAAGCATGTCAGTGCTCCCCTAACTATAGATCAACAAAATGGTCTTTACCTTCAGTAGCAGAGGTAGATCCTGAGTCAGATGATTGATCACTTGGACCATGTAACGGTGTTGATTGAAGACCTTTGCTAGGCAATGCCAAGGCTGAATGTTCTGCTGGAACCATCTCCTGAGCAGCAATACCAGATACACCAGAATTTAGTAAATGTTTGGCCACATCAGAATTTGTCAAGTCATTTGTCATACTGCGCTTAGCCTTCTTGGCATACGGCTCTAGGTTAGAGTCCTTGGGCTTAGTAAATGATTTGTCACCAGACCATGTATATTGAGATTTATGCACAGTATTTCCATCGGTGGGATTTTTCGATCCATTGCAAGTTGGTCGGTTAGGTTCAGGATATTGCATTCGCTCTACAAGATGTGAAATTCTTTGCAAATCGTGCTGCAATAAAGAAGAATTATTTCCCGGAAGACCATTGTGTTGTCTTTCTGGCAGTACATAGTTCTCTGGATCTATATTTCTCAGATCTGGTACAGAGGGTAAAGCAGGTGCCCGTTTAGCCTTTTCATTGAGGAGAAGATTGGGCTGTGATGTTGGACCATTAGCTGTTTGACTACCCTGCTGTAAGGGTAAAATGTCCTCTTTAAGAGTATTCACTTCGTCACTATCTGGCCTGGCTTCTTTTAATGAAGAGTTGGCAGATTTTTGAGAAACTATTTTACTCATCTGCTTCACTTTAGCACTGGCATCTTCTTCCTTAAAGTGATGATGGTGTCGCAAATGGTATTTTAAAGAGGTGGCTTGTGCTGAGGTATAATCGCACATTTCACACTCGTAAGGTTTTTCACCTGCAATGATAAAAACATCTGTTAGAAGCGAGCTGTCAATAGGCTTTATTATACATTAATTTATAGAGGAGGTAGCAAAAAAATCTTAAAATGTAATCTACTGTCATTCAGTACAATTTTAATCAATACAAATGTTATCACTCAATATTCCTAAAAACTGTTTGTTCTATAGAAATTAAAGATTTTGACTCCATTTTAAAACTGACCAAAGTAATTTTTAACTAGAAGTAGAAATACAAAAATTCCAAGCTATGGACCAAACTAAGGCCTCTATTAAATATTGTTGGATAAGCTTTTCAAATCATTAAATATTTTTCTACATATCTTTAAAAATTATTTTATAAGATTAAAAATACTTAAGATTTGCAATGTTTTTTATATATATTGTTTTGTTTTTTTAATATACAATGTATTTCTTGATATATTATATATTTTCTAACGTTTGATATTTTTTAATATATAATAATATTTTCAAACAATCATTTTTAAATCTTATCGGACAATCGGAAATAATTTTAAATGCTTATCAAATATTATTAAATCATGGTCTAAGTAAGTAGAAGAAAAAACAGATAAAAAAGTGTGTACAGTGTATGGAATAAATAAATATATTTGTTATTTTTTGTCTCTGTATAGGGCAGTTCGGAGCGATAACCAAAGTCTACAAACTAATTTCATAAGGATTTCAGCATTTCCATTGTAACACAAGACTCTTATTTTCTTATTTTAAACGTAGCTTACCAGTGTGTGAACGGAGATGGATGCTAAGGTAACTTTTTGAAGCAAAACTTTTTCCACAATCGTAACAAATTGGAGATTGGGTTTCCTTCTTATTGTTTTGATCTTCCTCTGTTTTTTCTAAAAGGATTTGAAAAAGACATAAACAGAAAATTCCAGATTAATTTTGGTTCCCTAGAGCACTCTTTTATCATTGGTAATTATTTAAACATACACTTAGTCATTCACACAAATTAAATTAAGCATTTTCCTTTTACAGAAATAAAGTAAATTAAATATATAAAAAAACATCCTAAAGCAGTGTGTTAGAATACTTTCATAAACAAACGTGTCTCCCACCAACTAGAGCAATCCACTTGTTCGAGGTGAAGTCACAGTTTGTTTTTTTTAAGGTTTAACAAAAAAATTCCTCATCAGGAGTAAGAATGGGGGGGAGGGGGTTATATCACAAAGTGTCAATTTATTTTATAACGAGGAATCACTGGATGTGACACATAAAGCAATTCGTTCACAGAGTTTAATAAGCAGCACCATCGCCCATATTTAGATCCTTGACGCAGAATAAACATTTCTGTATAATCTTCAGTAATGTAAATAATCTGCCAATAGAGGGAGCTATTGCAACAAAACATTTTTAATATCCAATAATTATGCCCACTGAACATTTACTTAACTGTTTCACAGAGAAATTATAAAATTCAAAAATTGTGAGGATTGTAGTAGACGAATATCTTACCTGTCTGCATAGGTTCACTCCGTGTATCTTCTGACATGTCCACTGAAACACCATGATTTAGCATCTGTTGGATTTGATTTTCCACATTGGTTGCAGTATCTGAAGAAACAGATGGACTTTCACTTCCACTTCCACTCATGGATGACCTTTCAGGATATTCGTTTAGCAAAGGAACCTTTTTGATCGCATCTTCTCTGTCAGGAACCACAGATCCACCCGCGTTACCCCCCTGTCTTCCTTTATTCCCTTTGCCACGGTCATCCAATTTCCCTGTGGTGTCCAATCGCCATGTTTGACAACTGACCACTGGATCAAGTGCTGCGATCCACATTACGGATTGTTTTGGTTTCTCTGGAGAAAAAGATTTGGGCTTTAGGTTTAGAAAGCCCATGACGTTAGCTTGTGAACCATCTTCTATATCCTTCTTAGATTCTAATAAATGAGTATCGCAGTGCTCTCGGAAGTCATTTTTGTAAAAGATATATCCACAAATCATACACCTTATCAATGGACTAATTAAGGGTTTGTCAAATTGTTCTTGAACGGCATCATTTATTGTAACAGGATCATCAAGGCTTGGCTGATCGGTCCTAATGTCCTTTGATTTCCTCTTCCGTTTCCTGCCCTTCGATGTTCCATCATGTGTTATTGCATGGTTCTTCAAAAACCTGTCCTTCTTGTATCTTCTTCCACAGATATGACAATGAAATGGGTATGCTTCTTTGTGCTTTGCCAAGTGGCTAATCTCACATTTAATAGCTCTGCAGTCACTCTCATTATTAGTGGTGGGATCTTCATTTTCACTGCTGGAACCTCTCTCATCGAGACCCTCAAATGCACTACCAAGGCCTTCAGTATAATCCATGAACTCTGACAAAGGCTGAGGTGGCATTTTTTACTCCAAGTCCCCAATTTGTAGTTTGTTTTTGTGATGAAACTTTCTCAGTAACGGTTTTCACTGTTATGATTACTTAAAGTGGTTGACAGTTGAGTGCCGAAATCTCAATGACTTTTCAAGCAAATCCAAGATGTCCACAACTAAAATGAAAATAAAAAATAAATCTACATAAATTTGTTGTTAATTCAACTAAAGAAAAATTATTAACATGTAGAAGCACTTTGTAATTTCTACAATAAATAAAATTTAGTGAACAAATTCCAATCCGTTTTCTTTCGGCAAAATAAAAAAGTGATTTAGTAATAAAATTATAATTTGCAAGTTAAACAACAATGAATTAAAATCAGATTGAAACCCAGATACAGGATCACAGAACCAAAATCAATCTGGTAAATAAACCTTCCACTCTATCAGTGAAAGGTTAAGTAATAAAGTAAAACAATCTAGGCTTCTGGTCTCTCAGCATGGCTATACAAGGTTATCATAAAGCAGTTAGAAGTGGCAAGTTACCTGGAGATTTGGCTACCTTGGGTCCTTGTACCTGCTGCAGTTCTTGCTCTAATTGAAGTCATTGATTGTCAGCCTAGAAGTGAATCTCTCTCTATATTGAGTTCCAAAGGCCAAGCCCCGCCCACTGATTAGAATTACAATAATGAATCTTTCTATAAACCTTTCTCCATAGACATTCCCTAAATCTCTCGCATCTGATTGGCCAGTCACTGGACACTGTTAAGTAATATGCTAATGTATGATCAGGGTAAAGCCAAAATATGTAGATACTAAAACTAACTGAAATGAAAATGTATCCTTATTGCATTTTAAATATGCACTAAATCATTTCATATAGGTTATTGCTGTATTATAAATGGTTGCTTATATACCTGAATATAGATAATGGACTATATTTATCCCTCTCTAGTGAAAGATCTAATATTTTCCTATATTAAATAAATAAATCCAATAAGCATATCTCACATGGTGACACTGTCAGTGACAATAGCCTGATTGCATTTTAGTTACTGGACCTCAAACTGTTCAATAAACCTTAAATTATAGTGAATTCAAAATAGAATGGTAACCTATGGGCTAAAGTGTTTAAACAGTGACTGTAGCTTTCTTAGAGGATTTTATTCCAATCAGCTATTGTGGCCCAACTTTTACAGTCCAGTTTCAGCTGAGTACAATTCAATGTTTATTCATTCATGTTATAACACATAAGAACAACACTGCTGTCATATACAGTAAAATAAAAAATAAAAAATCTGATACAATAATAATTTATTACCATTATTGGACCCATCTCTTCCCTAAATAGATTTCTTTTTACAATAATTATAACACAGTTTATTTATGTAACTGCTGTGATATAAATAATAATAAATAATATAAGTGTATTTGTCTTCACAACTAACTACAGATATAAAAAGCAAATTCAGCCATTTGTTACATTATTGATTTTTATTTTATTGATAAAGTTATTTCATTTATTATTATTATTTTCACTATAAGTTCTCAGGTATTCCATTTAACACTAACAGTTGTTAGTTTTTATCATCTTATTAACTGGAATGGTTTTGTTAGCTTGTTTTTTTACGCATAATTGAGAACTGCTTCTACTCACAAGTCTTTGATTACCTGAATATGATAATGAATCCTCCTGGCACAATAGGGGTTAAAATGACATTTACATAAATTAGGCTAATTGTATTTGTAAACAATAGTTCTGCTGCAGAATAATGTTTATGAAATTCTATACAAAGAATTAGATGAACAGCGATGCAGATTGGCTGTTGTGCAAATTAGATTAATTTGTATTCCATTTACATGTGTATCACCCTCTTCTATCCTGTAAATCTGTGAAATATTTCTATTTAACAGTTAGTTTCATTGCTCTAACTTGTTTGTAAACTTGGAAATAGAAATGTACAAGTTCTGCACCTTCACTGATGATATCATTGTCATTCTATATTTTATTCATCTAAAACTCCCGTATTTGTGTTCAGCGAAGTCTGACGAGTACAACAATACCCCCCCCATGTACAGCTTTTATTAATATTAATATATAATCTTTCATTCAGTTATAAACAATCTTCTACTCAACACATTTTTTTTTTTTTTTTATATTTTTCCTCTTACTAATTTTGTTATGTTGGCACCAAATTTGTTGTATTACTATATAGATTTTTTAATCATTCTGATATTTCAACATCAAGCAAATTATTGCACAGAAAGAAAGCATCTACAATACAGCTACATAATGTTTCAATAGTTACATTATAATTAACACAAAACGACATAAAAGTGACCTATGATAAGCCAGAGACTAAAATTAGTGAGAAAATAAAATCCTATATGAAGAATCTTTGCAAAGTAGGGCTGAAACGTTGCCACTATAGGTTTTCAGAATAATATTTATATATAAAAGCATACTGCTAAATATTCAGGGAAATTAAAATAGTTTTATAGAAGCAAAGCAAAATAATAGCAGTGAGCTAGACCAAATAAAGTAAGGTGCAATAAAGTCTTTGAAATCTTAAATTGAGATGTTACATTTATTTATTTACATTGGTTTGTGGGGCTGCTAGGTCTGTAAAAGCATGGCTGTATCGCAGTTATAGCGGCGTAGTGTGCAGTAACGGTCTGCAGCCCTTCAATGAATACAAACATAGTTTATTTTGAATGCCCTATATTAGAGTGTTTTAGAGCAGTGAGCTTGTATCTTTATTAAACACCATAATACCTGTATATGGGGGTACTGGTATACTTGCGAGACTTCACTGAACACTATGAGTGTTTTAGAGCAATAAAATGTATAACGACAATTATATTATCAGATAAAGAACAGTATTTTATGGAACAAAAAAATATGAACACTAAATATGGCCAGGATTTTTGACTAAGTGGCTACTACAAAAGTCTGGACATATCTCCTGTCTACTATTGCAAATGGTATGCCATTCCTGGGCTTCCATATGGTCTCATAGGCAACATAGGCCCATCAAACCTCCAAAATGGGCAAGCATGGGTGGCATCATTGCGTTCGTGGGACATCACAGCATCCAAGTATGTGTTTTATTGCAGTAAAAGCTAACAGTATTATGACATTCACAGTTAGAATACCATGTTCACACTTTGTTTAGATTTTATTCATAATTAATAGTGTTCCATATATAAATATTTGATGTGAAATCAAACATGATATATAATAGTTGTGGGATAACTTATAATGAAAGTGGTAAATTACAATTGAACTGACATATAACTCAAATTCTAGATTGGGTTTTGAGCAGAACTTGTACAATTGCCTTCAACGTCCGGCGTTAATATTTTCTGTTGTTTTGCTGTGCTGTTTTGGTTCTTTTCTTAGTTTGTATAAAACCAAATCAATGTATTTATATATTGGTACACGTTCCAGTTGTATTATATATTGGTACACGTTCCAAATGTATTATATATTGGTACACGTTCCAATTGTATTATATATTGGTACACGTTCCAGTTGTATTATATATTGGTACACGTACCAGTTGTATTATATTCCAGTTGTATTATATATTGGTACACGTTCCAGTTGTATTATATATTGGTACACGTTCCAATTGTATTATATATTGGTACACGTTCCAATTGTATTATATATTGGTACACGTTCCAGTTGTATTATATTCCAGTTATATTATATATTGGTACACGTTCCAGTTGTATTATATTCCAGTTATATTATATATTGGTACACGTTCCAGTTGTATTATATATTGGTACACGTTCCAGTTGTATTATATTCCAGTTGTATTATATATTGGTACACGTTCCAATTGTATTATATATTGGTACACGTTCCAATTGTATTATATATTGGTACAAGTTCCAGTTGTATTATATATTGGTACACGTTCCAGTTGTATTATATTCCAGTTGTATTATATATTGGTACACGTTCCAGTTGTATTATATATTGGTACACGTTCCAATTGTATTATATATTGGTACACGTTCCAATTGTATTATATATTGGTACACGTTCCAGTTATATTATATATTGGTACACATTCCAGTTGTATTATATTCCAGTTATATTATATATTGGTACACGTTCCAGTTGTATTATATATTGGTACACAGTTGTTCCAGTTGTATTATATATTGGTACACGTTCCAGTTGTATTATATTCCAGTTGTATTATATATTGGTACACGTTCCAGTTGTATTATATTCCAGTTGTATTATATATTGGTACACGTTCCAGTTGTATTATATATTCGTACACGTTCCAGTTGTTGTCAGGTATACCTAACATTCATGCTGCCGCCGGAACCCACTCCGCCCCTTTTTTCTGACGCGGTCTTTCCACGATACTTAGGAAGACCGCGCCAGATTCAAAGTGCTGGATTATTCACTCAGGTGCGGCAGTGAGATCAGCTGCTCTACTCGATGCTACCGGCTCCACTTCTCAGACCTCGGCTTGTAAACGGATTTCTACCTTCTCATCTCTCAGACCTCGGCCTGTAAACGGATTTCTACCTTCTCATCTCTCAGACCTCGGCTTATAAACGGAATTCTACCTTCTCCTCTCCCAGACCTCGGCTTGTAAACGGATTTCTACCTTCTCATCTCTCAGACCTCGGCTTGGACAAACGGACTTCCTTTCTCTCACTACTAAACTGCAGTTTGTTAAAAGAGACTCCTTCCTCTTCCTCCATTGGGTGAATTAACCCTTCCAGTGCCAGAGTGCTTCTAAGTTAAGTAAATATTTTGTCAAGGAAAGCAAGTCATATCAATTAATTATAGTATTTAATTTCTTTAAACTCTCTGTTGACAAATAAGGATTGCTGCTAAGGCTAAAACTTCATTATTAAAATTCAAGTTGGAACTAACTTGGCATTTTCCTGATTATTATTTAAAGATACAGTCCACTGATTTCACTCCAATATAATAGGAGGTGAAACTTACTGTTCCTGCCCTCAGAAAATTCTGCAGTTGAGTTCCAATTAAAGAGGTATTACACAAAAGCATCACAGTTGTATTATATATTGGTGCATGTTCCAGTTGTATTATATATTGGTACATGTTCCAGTTGTATTATATCTTGGTACACGTTCCAGTTGTATTATATTCCAGTTATATTATATATTGGTACACGTTCCAGTTGTATTATATATTGGTACACGTTCCAGTTGTATTATATATTGGTGCATGTTCCAGTTGTATTATATATTGGTACATGTTCCAGTTGTATTATATCTTGGTACACGTTCCAGTTGTATTATATTCCAGTTATATTATATATTGGTACACGTTCCAGTTGTATTATATATTGGTACACGTTCCAGTTGTATTATATTCCAGTTATATTATATATTGGTACACGTTCCAGTTGTATTATATATTGGTACACGTTCCAGTTGTATTATATATTGGTACACGTTCCAGTTGTATTATATTCCAGTTATATTATATATTGGTACACGTTCCAGTTGTATTATATATTGGTACATGTTCCAGTTGTATTATATTCCAGTTATATTATATATTGGTACACGTTCCAGTTGTATTATATATTGGTACACGTTCCAGTTGTATTATATATTGGTACATGTTCCAGTTGTATTATATCTTGGTACACGTTCCAGTTGTATTATATTCCAGTTATATTATATATTGGTACACGTTCCAGTTGTATTATATATTGGTACATGTTCCAGTTGTATTATATTCCAGTTATATTATATATTGGTACACGTTCCAGTTGTATTATATATTGGTACACGTTCCAGTTGTATTATATTCCAGTTATATTATATATTGGTACACGTTCCAGTTGTATTATATATTGGTACACATTCCAGTTGTATTATATATTGGTACATGTTCCAGTTGTATTATATCTTGGTACACGTTCCAGTGGTATTATATTCCAGTTATATTATATATTGGTACACGTTCCAGTTGTATTATATTCCAGTTGTATTATATATTGGTACATGTTCCAGTTGTATTATATCTTGGTACACGTTCCAGTGGTATTATATTCCAGTTATATTATATATTGGTACACGTTCCAGTTGTATTATATATTGGTACACGTTCCAGTTGTATTATATATTGGTAAACGTTCCAGTTGTATTATATTCCAGTTGTATTATATATTGGTACACATTCCAGTTGTATTATATATTGGTACATGTTCCAGTTGTATTATATCTTGGTACACGTTCCAGTTGTATTATATATTGGTAAACGTTCCAGTTGTATTATATTCCAGTTGTATTATATATTGGTTCTCCTTTGATAACATTACCAGGTGGAAAGCACAAAAAAAGGAAAACATGAATTAAAAATGACTAATTTACTCAGAATTTGAATGTTTTTTGTGGGGGAGGTGGGCTGAGATCTCTATCCGTTTGCTATTAAGGACTGATATTTGAATTTCTTTATGATATGACATGCAGATATTTTACAGCATTTTATCATTTGGTTCACGGATCAAGTGAGAATACGTAACTAATAGAAGAAATACAGGAAACGCCTTAAAATAACATATTAATCACATCATTTATTGATTACATTTGAATAAATATGACTTATTTATTTTATTACTACTGTTCTTTTCACCTGATCATTCTTTTTCCCATATGCAGAATTCAGAATATTGACCCTCTCAAACGTGTTTGGCACTCCAGGCACCCAGACTACTTCTGCCCATTGGAGTGGTCTGGGTGCCAACTCCCACTACTCTTAACCCTGCAACTGTAATTATTGCAGTTTTTATAAACTGCAATAATTACCTTGCAGAGTTAACTCCTAGACAGCCACTAGAGGGCACTTCCTGGTTTCTAGCACAGGTTTTCTGTGCTATAGCGTCACTGGATGTCCTCATGCTATGTGAGGACCTCCAGCGTCGCTAAAATCCCCATAGGAAAGCAGTGAAAGCATTTTCAATGCTTTTCTATGGGGAGATCTAATGCGCGTGCACGGCTTTGCCGAGCACGCGAATTAGGCCTGATCCCGCTGGCGGCCGTGCATGCGCAATCGGTCTCCCCTGCCGGATGACATTAGCGGTGGAGGAGCGTGGGCGAACCCTAAACCACCACCGAGGGACATCGACGGTGGTCTCAGGTAAGTTTTCACGCCTTCAGCAACATGGGATGGGAGGGAGAGGGGACCTGGAGTGCTAGGAAAACGATTTGTTTTCCTGGCACTGGAGTGTCCCTTTAAGCTTGTTTGTAACCTAAATCAGCTCGGAATTCAGAAATTCGGCTGACCATCTGATCCGCCCAAATTTGCCCCAATTTGGGCCCAATTGGGTTTGAAATGATTAATTAATTCTAGTTTTCATCCAGAACACCAGTTGGCTTATTCTAACCTTTAGTGATCTTACCATAAAAGATATCTATTTAAATATCTATCGTGCAAATATTCATCGATTCACTATCATTTTTGTCCACGAAAAAGGCAGTGCTAGATGACAATATAAAATGAAAGAAAGCAAGGATGTTTGAAATCTTTCGATGCAAGATAATTTCATCTCTAACGGTTATTCGAGAATTTGTCAAGATCTCACCAGAGACTTATAAATTATTGCTATTTTGTCCTATCATTTGCAATAAAATCCTGGATGAATACAGATCAGTTTGGTATAAGGAATAACCCTCTCTGTTTCTGAAAAATATGCAACTAGTAAATTAACCTGTAAGGTATGAGGAAGGTTTACCTAACAATCGGTTAGAAATTAAGAGCGTCACCTGCTGTTCTCAGCCAATCACTGGCCACACATTGATAGAAATAGTATGGTTTAACCCCTGCAGGTAAGACAGTGACCAGAAACAATGTATATTTAACCTGCGAGGGTATTGGAAAAAAAGAGAGACTCTCCTTGGCACCATCTGGTTTGGAGTTAATATGATGAGGTTGAGAGCTATTGCCTTCTCCCACCCACTGCTACCTGCTACTGCCACCTGCTACCCCGTAGTTCCCAAAACCCCTATAAATTAAAGTACTTCTGGACAGCTCATCTCCCCAGCTACCCTCTGCCCAAATAGTGCTTATTCTTTACATGACGTCCGCTCAACAACCACTTGAATGTTTAGCAAGCCACAGTTGAGTTCAGATCTGATGGACAGTTCCATGCAGCTAGCTTGCTCAGGACAACTGGCTCAGGACTCCCAGCCAACTCCTCTCTAAAAGTACTATAAAAACCTATTTGTCTTTACCCTGCTAGACATTTGGGAGCCATATAAGTCAGCCCATTACCATCAGGGACTAGCAAGAGGCTCATGCAGACACAGCGTGCCCGGCTGGGAGCTACCCAGAAGCTACATGGAACTGTACATCGAATTGCGTGAGCGATGATACAGTGAAACTTCACTTGGGTAGTACTCGGTCGCAGGACCATTAAAAAAGGTGTTATTTGGAAGGTGAATCAGGGAGGTGATGAGGCATCCAATGACACCAAAGACTACAGGGAACTTCCTGTCCCAGAGCTACATGAAGCCAGCATTGCTTACCGGGACCTGTCAACAAATGGCCTGGAACCCAGCCGAGATAGATACAATCCCAGAGGAGCTTTTTAGACACTTTGCTTCTAATTTCCAGAGCTTTTTGGGGATGTACGCTGCTTGGGGATAACCTAGGAGAAAATTATTAGTTTGGGGATAATGTTGTAAGGTGCCCTCATGTGTGGCAGTAAATAAATGATCGGATTGTGATTGAGTTATGTTCCAAGCACCAAGGCGCCAGGTTTGGGAATGTATTGTGTGCTATGATGAAAGGGGAAAGGTGTATATAAATTGGCCTGTTGGTAAATAAAGATTATTCATGCTTTACCCTTCATCAAAACTCACCTGATGTTTGGGATTAACATACGTTTTATTTGGAAAGGGTCAGGTCCTCTTTCGACTCCCTCACAAACCCTATCAGGACATCCTAAGTCAATTGAACTGAGATAGTGGAGGGGTCTGTATCACTGGGTCTTACCTGGGCTTTTCCTGAGTGTGAGTTTGTGGCAGCAGCCCAGTTACAGGGTAGGCACTGTTTGAGATAGCTGGGGTAAAGGCAGAGGTTTGTTGCCCCTGATCATTCACCAGTAACACTTCTGCAGGGAGGTCCTGCATCACCCTTACTTCCAAAGTACGAGCATTATCACCCCAATCTAGATGTACATGAGAAGTAGGCAAGTGGCTTCCTCCTGCCACCCTCAGGGCCACTGAACTCCTGGTCCTTTCTGGTCAATGAATTTATTGCAATTGAACAAGGGTCACGATGGCTCTGGTGTCTCGAGGTTCCTGGTCTGGCTACCCGTTTAGTAACACGACTTGACTATGGTGTCGTTGTTTGCCAGCAGCCACTGCCTGCACTAGGTCTACTTTGTGCAGCATCCTCCATCTTTCCTCTGTGACCAGGGCTCAGGGCATCCATCTCTGTTGCTGAAGTTTTATGTTTCCTCCCTGTGGACATAATGAATGATCTCTCGGGGTCCAGGACCCGGTATGTTGTGTCCTTTCATAGGGACAGCTATTGCAGAGGTAACATCCAGTTACATCAAGATGTTAGCGACTACATCTCCCATAATGCTCTTAGAGCTACAATGCTGGAAAAGCATCAGTGGGGATGTACACCACAGCATCTGAATTCCTTATCTCTGTCCCATTCTATGCTGCTGTATTTGATGTAGTAGCACCACCTAGTGGACATTCAATACATTTGATAAGTTATTATTTGGAATTATATATAAACATTTAGCTGTTACCCAAGAGATGACTATTAGTTTGCGTAAGTCAATTCCAAGGTATTTATTGCCCTGAACAGGTTCTGTGATCATCGGCAAAGGTAGGCAGTGCAATGTCATGCTGGATCTGAAGAATTTAAGGGTTTTATTTATTGAAAAGTGAATAAAATAAAATAAAAATGTAAACCAAAACATTTAACGTTAATTGCTTAAGTGAATTCAGAATGAATTCAAAGTGAATTTCGAATTTAAGGTTAAAACAGCCTAGTAATCCATGCTTTCAGTTCGACTACTCTGAACTCTTACTTTCCAAATTCCCTTCGAAATCACCTTCAAGTCTCACTTTAATAAATTAACCTGATTGTTGGAAAAAATATCTAATTTAGCTCGATTTTCATTTTAGATTTTTTAGAATTTTTGGGTTTCAGTTCACCTCAATTTAGAGTTTGGTGAATAAACATTTTTAAGAGGATTAAAAGGAACACTCCCTGCCCATAACAAGAGTTAGAATGAAGACTGAAACCTCTGGATCCAATAATGTCACGGCACCGCATTGAATATAGACGGCGTAATCATGAAAGTAATAATAAACTCAAGCAAGATGCTTAAAACAAAGAAAATAACTCCCATGGTCGGTGAGCACTGAAGTAGCTCAGGTAAGAACCTTGTTGGCGAGTTCAGCCAACTCCCATGGGTGGCAAAGCCACCATGCCTCCAGGGAAATCATCACATCAGGATTGGGTGCTCCTCCAGCCCCAGGCCAGTATGAGGGACAGCATCAGAATGACACAGACTTGGATACATCTGAGCCCAATCGCTGCTTTCTGCGGGCAATCTTCCGCCTGTAGGGTAATGTGTGGAGGCAAAGCCTCAGGTGGCTCTCTGCCCAGGAAGATAGTGTAGAGGGTGCATTAGCTTATTTTTTTGTGCTTTGCCCTGAGGAGGCCTCAGACACATGCCTCTCCGGTCTCCCGGCAGCTGTCTTACTTCAATGGCTGTGTTGCGGGTACACAGCATTGATCCGAAACTTTGGAAAAGTGGTGTTGTGGCAGACCGTCTGTGTTAAGCTCACGCCATGTGCATCTGATAATGAGGAAGTCACCATCTTGGTACGATAGAGCCGGTCAGTGTCAGCTCCAATTGAGCGGTGAGTACAATTGCCACAGCCTGTATGAGTCCAGAGTGGACCGAAATATCCTCCAAGGGGGAAGCAGAGAGGAGGGTAGGAGCACAGCAGCAGTTCTGACCTGTGACCAGAAAAATTAGATCAGCCACCTCTCCCCAGATCCCATCCAAATAGGCTGCCCTAGGCATCCAAAGTGGGATATCCTAAGGAAAAGTTTCACTCTGCTTCACTAACCTGATAAATACACTTCGACCGACTTAGAAGTGTGGTGGCCAAGATTGTTCCCCCAACTCCTCTCAAAGCATCAGGAGCTCAAACACCACACATCTGCACAGCCCCCTGGCTCTCTATTTTAATACCCTGATGTGAGATTCCAAATTAGAGTGCTATTTAGTAGATAGCTCCCTTAATTTGGCACCCTGATGTGAGGTTCCCTTACTTAGGACACTGTTTAGTTGATAGATTCCTAATTTGGTGCCCATATGTGGAATTGCCTATGTAAAAATACCAAATTAGGGCGTTGTTTCGTAGATTTCCTGTTATGCTGTTGTGCAGTACATGAAAACGGCTGCTCTTAGTAACTATGAAACCCACCTGCATTGGCATAGCAGCACTCTGCACTCCCTACACAACTTTCTGCTAACAGATTTAACTTTAAAAATAGTTTGTTTCTTTTTTTTTTATGCAGTTGTGCAGGATGTGAAAAGTGCAGCCCCCGGTGATTTTGAAAACTAATTTTACACATTAGTTTTTAGTTTTACTTTTTATTATAATGTTGTACAGTATGTGAAAATTGCTCCTGACATTGAAAACCCACTGTTTTGGCATGGAAGCACTTTTCATACCCCACACATCAGTAGGCAAATAGTTTTTATTATTGTTTTTTTTATGCTGTTGAGCAGGGAGTGAAAAGGGTTTGGTGACTTTTAAAACCGCTGTAACGTGGGGCAGCAATTTTCATTCTCTTCACAGCAAAATACTTTATTTGTTTAAACATTGGAGAGCACAGAAACGGCAATGCATATGGCTTTATACAGAGGCCCATAGTTTTACTCTGCCTCTGTAGAATGGCATGGGCTTGCTTCTGTCTCTGTATGAAAGCGAAGACTTACTAAGCCTCTTAATAAAGCTATGGGCATGCCTTCACTTAGTTGTGTCTCCATAATTCTGTGTTCTCCAATTGTTAAAGGAAAGGGAGAATAACATCCTTCACTATATTTCTAACAAACAAATAATACAATCTTGTTTTTTTTTTTATTTTTTTTTTTATCACTTTACTTAAAAAAGAAACAGTCTGAATAGCATCTTATACTGCGTGCACACAGAACATACAGGTCAACTTTAAAGGGACACTAAAAAAATAAAAACTCCCGTTTTACCACAATGAAAGTAATGTATGCATTTAATAATGCATTATTTCATTGGAGTTCTATCTTAAAACAGCTTGCAAAAGCTTCAAATCTCTTGTCTGAAGCCTTTGCAAGCCCTCCCTTTCAAACCCGTGCCCAGGCTTTCTGTGTCTGTCCTATCACAGACTTCCTAATGAGGGTCAATTAGACAGGTGCTCTGGGCAATTGCTGCCTCTTAAAGGGATACTCCATGCACCCAGACCACTTCTGCCCATTGGAGTGGTCTGGGTGCCAACTCCCACTACCCTTAACCCTGCAAGTGTAATTATTGCAGTTTTCATAAACTGCAATATTTACATTGCAGGGTTGAGACTTCCGTATTCATAGAAAACAAAAAGTGTTTTAAAACGACGCTGGATGTCCTCATGCTATGTAAGGACATCCAGCGTCGCCGAAATCCCTATAGGAAAGCATTGTATAATGCTTTCCTATGAGGAGGTCTAATACGTGTGCCCATTAGGTCTCACCCGCCGATGGCCACGCATGCGCATTAGGGGAGGAGCATAGGCAGAGTCTGACCCAGCGCTGAGGGACATCGGCGCTGGACTACGGTAAGTCACTGAAGGGGTTTTAACCCCAACAGCAACTTGGGATGGGAGGGTGAGGGGCACTAGAGGGTCCTGCAGTGCCAGGAAAACAAATGTTTTCCTGGCACTGGAGAATCCCTTTAAGTGAAACTCCATTGAGCAAAACAAACCAGTAAATAACAAGACCGGTTGTCTGATTGACAACCAGGGGGGCTGTAAGACGGTTAATTTGTAACTTTTATAAACAAAAGAAAAAGTATACATACTATAAAGAGTGTAATAGAAACCGTATATTAGGGAGAAGTCCCAGGTGTACCTCACTGACACCTAAAACATATACAATCAAAAAACATAAAGTGGAAACACCTCCCAATCCGTGACTATATATATAAAAATACAGATAACCTGAAATCAGTTATGCGTAGGTGGAATCTGTATAAAAAAACTGACATAGCGTAATACAGTTTTAATTCAATGAGTGGTATTTAGTAGAAATAAGTGCACTCACAAACGAACATAAAATCAGGCTTCTCACCCTCCCAGGGGTAATATATATTTTGTATGTTGAATCAAAGATCATCCGTGGGATATATCTGTTCAAATCCTACATTTAACAGGATTATTTAGTAAAGTGTGAATATGCAAGAATTCAAAGTAAATCAAATTCATCCTCCCTCCTCCCCCACAAAAAAAAAAAAAAATTTCCAAACAATTCACACTTTAGGTTTTTATTTCAACTGTTAAAGTTATCAAAGGAGAGATAATGTCAAAGTACTTATGCGAAAAAAATATAACGATACAAAATTTAATTTTTTATTTTTTTTTAATTATTAAAAAAAAAAAAAAAGGGACAGTTCTTATTTTGAAGGGTCAAGAAAAAAAAGAAAAAAACAATTATATATATATATATATATATATATATACACACATACACACACACACACACACACACATATATACACACACACACACACACACAAACTGTAAGCTGGAACACCAAAATAAATAAACAGGACACATTTTTCTTTTTCTCTTTTTTAAAAACACCACACTTATATTTGCAAATCAATATATAATACAAATGGAACATATGCAAATACATCCATCAATTCTCACAAACATCACAGCACACCAACAAAAAAAAGAAACATTATCATCATGGAGAACACAAGGGAATCAGATCAGGAGTATTCCCATAATACTGAAGGTCTGACCATTCAATGATTCAGTGGGTATTACACAGATTATGAAATATTGCTTTATAGTCTTAACATCAGTCCAGTATAGTTTACATTACTAGTTTAAGATGCAACAAACTCATCCACATTTTCAATATAAATACAACAAAAAAAAGAGATATTAGAAGGTGCAACTATAAAACATATTTTATGTACATGTGGCTCAGTTTAAATACAATAAAGGCATAATGTGAATTTTCTGAGACAGCACCTCAATGTAATACATTTTGGGTCTATTCAATAGAACAGACATGGCCTTTACTCTGAAATTAAGGAGAAAAAGCTTAGCCAAGCACAGAACAACACTATTGAATGATTTTTTTCTATCCAGCTTGGATATTTTAGTCCAAAAGTCACATTTTAAAGAACAGACCGCTTTGTATTTTTCTAAACCGGAGTGCAAAAATATAGAAATTAGTTAACAGTAGATTTGAACATCAAGGAATTTGTAACACTTCATTAAATATTTCACATGCCAATAGAGAAAAAAAAAAAAAAAAAATATTAATATTTTTTCAAAGTTTATAAACAGACAGTCCAGGAAGTATACCAGAGGTGTACATTAGTTCGGAAACATCTGGGCACCAAATACAAATCATCACACAGAGAATACATTAATAAAACGTCTCATCATAACTATAACCATTAGAAGAACCGGCCAAAGGTGAAGTACAAACAGGTTTTACAGATCACCCAACTATCTGACTAGGACAGGGGTAGGCAACCTTCGGCACTCCAGATGTTGTGGACTACATCTCCCACAATGCTCTTACTGGCAAAGGATCATGGGAGGTGTAGTCCAAACCATCTGCAGTGCTGAAGGTTGTTTATTCCTGGACTAGGAGATTGATAAACCTGGTCCTTTTTAGAACGACACAGAAAATCTGGGATGTTTGTACTGGTCAAGGACCAGAGAGACACCATGGAATAGAACAGCTGATTTTTACAATACGGTGTTACAACCGTTTATAAATGTCAACAAAACAGAAACAAGTTTCAAAGCAGAAAACTTGCCAAACAATATACACTAAGAAATGGTCCACAAAATAAAAAAAATAATAAGATATATGCTGTACCGTGTCGCCACATGTTCTGTCTGGCCAAGTGTGAGGCTTAAAAATATGTTTAGATAAAAGTATCTAGTAAGCAGTTAACAGAAGCTGAGCTTCATCTTTTAACATTTTTAGTGCCAAAAAAAAAAAAAAAAAAAAACCATCTACATTGGTCATATAGAGACAGAGGAGAGGGACAGAATGTGGTGGTAAGTGGGCAACAGTACATACAGCTTACCAACATATTTCCATAAAGTGGCTATTGGAGCTACTATGGTTTATATTAGTTGTAGCAAGGTTTGCTGGTAAAATAAATGACATGAGGAGGGGGATGGGTTATTACATTTTTATATAAACCACATCAACTTTTTGCAATAGATCTTTGAGTGGACCTGTCACTTTAAGCAAAATTAAAGAGGACGTGTCTCCTAACAATTGTACACTCAATCCAATCGATACAGATATGGATGGAAGATCAGACTAAGCGATAGGCCAATAAGCCATCCATGCAATGTGAAAAGAATAAATATAAAAAAAAAAAAAAAAAAGTTAATCACGGTTCTCTTTTAAATTAACTTAAACACACCGTAGGTTACATGTGCTGCATCTGTATAATTGGCAGAGTTTTACATGTTCTTCCACAATATGTTCTCATATTAAAGAACATCAGGTGACATTAAGTATTTAAAAACAATTTAAACTTTGCAAAATAAATATTCACAGAAATATAAAGTGACACATACCCAGAAAGAGTTCAGTTTTTCCTTTTATTTTCTCACACAATATACCTGAGCTGAATGTGTACACATATATGCAATAAGTCCTGGAAAATATCACTGCACAGGATGATTTCACATTTTCTATCCTTTTATACATTTTTAATCTATACATTTAATTTAGAGATATGAAAAATAAATTCCTTTATGGATATATAAAATCCATTAGAAAATATCAGGGCTTCACAAATACATAAAAAGAGGTGTCCCTAATCTTTGGTCAATTTCTTTAAAAAAAAAATAAATAAAATATTTAAACTCTCAAAAATATATGTACATATGGAAAACACATTCCAAAAAGTTTAGTCCAGATAATATTTACATTTTGTGCAGTTTATAATAATAAACAAAAATTAGTGTCTTTTCTCAGCACATTCACAGTGTTCCTGAAAGTTCTGGCATACGTTTTTTCAACAAAGCCTTCCAGCGTATGTCCAACAATCCAATTAAAAAAAGATCTATAAAATAAATGTGAAAAAAAAAAAAAAAAAATAGGATTAAATTGCAAATTAAGTAACATTAAACAACAAGATCAGCATTAAAATTCACAAAAAAAAAAAAAAAAAAAAAGTGGATTGTGTTAAATTTAATTATTAGAGTGTGGGCAACATGTTCAACTTATGGTAAATTGTAAGCCAAAAGGCCTTTATTCTGCCAGTTATAGAAGTTTTTAAGTGGTTAACTGGACATATTTAGTTCAGGTTAATAGTATGACTGCATTTAAAGGGAAACTCTAGTGCCAGGAAAATAGCTTTCCTGGCACTATAGCTTCCCCCTTATTCAAGGCCCCCTCACTTACCTGGGTCCAGCGCCTTCTCTCCTTCCCTGCTGACGTCAGCCAGCGGGGAGGTCCTAATGCGTATGCATGGCAATGGCTGCACTTGCACAGTCACTAGAAGTGGAGTTAACCCTAGCAGGTAATTATTGTAGTTTCCTAAAAACTGCAATAGTTACCTGCTCACGGTTAAGGGACTTAAGACAGTGCACCCAGACCACTTCAATGAGTGCACATGGGTGCCTATAGTGTCCCTTTAAAAAGAAGTATGAATAGCTTGTGTCTTTAGCTTACCTATTTTATTAAATAATGTGACATTTCAAAATCGTTTATCCTTGAGTACGGAATCTCGTTTTCCTCGACGACGGGAAGAGCGTCTAATTCCTATGGGTAATGAAATGGAAGTTTAAAATACAATTCAACATCAGAGAGAGAGAGAGATATATATATATATATATATATATATATATATATATCTCTCTCTCTCATTTAATCAGTCTATTACAAACAGAAGGCATAATATGATAATAACTGCAAGACAGTAGAAAGAAAAAAATGTTAATGGATCAATTTAACAAACTGCTGAATTCCCGAAGGGAAATTTATCTATTTTCAAACAACTTAATTTTCCAGCATTAAAATGAGAAATTGATCTAAGTCTGTGTTTTCACAATCAACCTAGCCAAGCAAAATAGACCCTGCTATTTTCAAAAGGATGTCATAGCAACTGTAGTTAAATCAAATTCCAGCCAAACTTATCTTCAAGGTAAAAAAAAAAGTAAATAAAAATTATGTACATATACATATACACACACACACACACACACACACACACACACACACTAAACTAGGGCTCATGTGAGGTATGGGTACAATTTGTTTGTCTGTATGGGGGTAAGAGGGGGTTGATTAAACAAATTAAGAAAAATTGGTTACTGTTCATGAAAACCTAAATCAGCGGAGTTAGAGATTCAGTTGTTTTCAGACAACTGAACGGAAGTTGAATCACATGACCTTTTAAGAATATGACCTTGTCAGTGCTTTAAGTCCCCTAACTATAGATTAAGTAAATGGTGTTTACCTTCAGTAGTAGAGGTAGATGCCAGATCAGATGACTGATCACTTGGAACATGCACAGGTGTTGGTTCAACCCCTATGATAGGCAAAGTCAAGGTTGAAGGTTTTCCGGGAACCAGCTCAGGAGCAGAAATACAGGAATCCAAAGCATTAAGTCCTTTCTTGGCCACATCAGAATTTGTCAAGTCATTTGTCATACTGCGCTTAGCCTTCTTGGCATACGGCTCTAGGTTAGAGTCCATGGGCTTAGTAAATGATCTGTCACCAGACCATGTATATTGAGATTTATGCACAGTATTTCCATCGGTGGGATTTTTCGATCCATTGCAAGTTGGTCGGTTAGGTTCAGGATATTGCATTCGCTCTACAAGATGTGAAATTCTTTGCAAATCGTGCTGCAATAAAGAAAAATTATTTCCCGGAAGACCATTGTGTTGTCTTTCTGGCAGTACATAGTTCTCTTGATCTATATTTCTCATATCTGGTACAGAGGGTAAAGCAGGTGCCCGTTTAGCCTTTTCATTGAGGAGAAGCTTGGGCTGTGACGTTGGACCATTAGCTATAAGACCACCTTGCTGTAAGGGTGAAATGTCAAATCCATTTAATGCAGCAGGGCATCCCGTACGTCTCTTTTTAATAGAAGGTCCAGTGCTTTTATATTTGGTTCCATTCTCCAGAGCAATACATGATTTGTGAGAAAGCTTATTATGCATTTCCAAAACTTCAGGGTACAAAGTATTGTAGCTACAATATTGGCATTTATTAATGTTCAGGAAGGCAAGCGTGGCAGGATATTTTTGGTTATCTTCAGCAGTTAAACTCAAATTTAATGGCAATGACAGAAGATTTACAGGAGGGGTTGCATGACTTCCTTGAAGTCCAAGGTCATCAGTCACTTCCATCTCTTCAGATTCAGACTGGCCAGGTAGTGCTTCATCAACATCACCATTAAGGATGAGTGGTGGTCTAACAGGGTCCCCATTTCCTAAAGGTGGATTTAAATCTCCAGGTGTGTTTTGCAAAGAATGAAGAAGTTTATATGGTTTCATTGGAGGTTTGCGGTCCTCTTTAGGAGTATTCACTTCCTCACTATCTGGCCTGGCTTCTTTTAATGAAGAGTTGGCAGATTTTTGAGAAACAATTTTACTCATCTGCTTCACTTTAGCACTGGCATCTTCTTCCTTAAAGTGATGATGGTGTCGCAAATGGTATTTTAAAGAGGTGGCTTGTGCTGAGGTATAATCGCACATTTCACACTCGTAAGGTTTTTCGCCTGCAATGATAAAAACATCTGTTAGAAGCGAGCTGTCAAAAGGCATTATTATACATTAATTTATAGAGGAGGTAGCAAAAATAAACCCCAACATGTAGACTAGTCATTGAGTGCAATCGAAAGCCCTGAAACGGTTTGGTCTGTTAAAATTCACATTTTTTATTACCTTTTAAGAAAGGGCCAAATAAATCTTGCATAGAAGTATCCGGAAAAAATGAGCCTCGATTTAGTTTTTCTGGGAGAAGCTTTTCATATCAATAAAATGTTTGGATCCACTTTTACATTAATTTAATATTATGACATTTAAATTTTTAATATTGTAATTGTTTGATATATTTTTTTTTTTATAAACGGATATGTATAAGGATTTCAGAATGTCCATTAGAAGACTTTAACAAACTATCTTAAATGTAACTTACCCGTGTGTGAACGGATATGGACAGTCAAATAGTAATTCGATCCAAAACTCTTTCCACAATAAGTACATTTCGGAGATTGGGATTTCTTCTTTTTCTTGTTGTTATGATCTTCAATATTTTCTAAGAGGATATGGGGAAAGGCAAAAACAGAAAAAGCAACATTAATTATGGTTCCCAAGAGTACTCTTATAATGGTAATTTCTCAATTATACACTTACTTATCCACGCAAGTGACATTGTGCATTTTCTTTTTTTAGAAATAAACTAACTAAATAAAATAACATCCTAAAGCAGTCTTCCATCCACTAGGGCAATGCCACTTGTTAGAGGAGACATTTAGTTTTTTTAAGGTTTGACAAGGCGATTCCTCATCAGGAGTAAGAATGGGGTGGGAAAGGGTTATTTATTTTATAATGAGGAATCACTGGATGTGATATAAAAAGCTATTTGTTTTCAGAAGGGTAAAAGTGAAGCAATCACATATCTATCTAGCTCTTCTTGGCAGAATAGACTTCTATGCATAATTTTCAGGGATCTGCCACAAGAGGGAGCCATTGTCCTAAACTTTAATTTTGTTGCAATTTGCAAAATAAAAAATAAAAATCCAATAATTATGCACACTGAACCTTTTTTCTAACATAATTTGTTAGACTTTGAAAATTGTGAGGATCGTAGCAGATGAAGGTCTTACCTGCTTGCATGGGTTCACTACTTGTATCTTCTGGCATTTCCCCCAAACTAACTTGCATTGGGGTTTGTTGATGTTCCACATTGGCTGCGGTATCTGAAGAAACAGAAGGACTTCCACTTGCACTACTCATTGAGGAACATTCAGAATCACTCCTCTCCTTTTTGTGCACTCGTAAGTGCAACACAAGCTGGTGATAGGTTTTAAAATATTTCCCACAGTCTTTACAGAGGGTTGACCTGTCATTCTCAGTCAGTGCAGTTTGTTGTCCATCTGGTGAAGGCACTTCATTTGGACTATTTTCATGAAATTGGTCGAGCAACGGAACATTTTGTGTAGCATCCTTAATCTCAAGAATCACAGGTTCACCCTTTCTCACACTGTTTTTTCTTTTTCTTCCCTTGACTGTTGAAGGATCTGCATCAGCATATGCTCTGTGTATAGCTTCTTTTGTTTTCTCGTCACGGTCATCCAATTTCCCTGTGGTGTCCAATCGCCATGTTTGACAACTGACCACTGGATCCAGTGCTGCGATCCACATTACGGATTGTTTTGGTTTCTCTGGAGAAGATGATTTGGGCTTTAGGTTAAGAAAACCCATGAAGAGACCCTTTTCACATTCTTCTTTATTCAGCTTATTGTCATCAGATGAAAAAGAAACATTATTTGTCTCTGGAATCCGTTGGTTTGACCCATTTGCAAAGAGGGTTGAAGGTGGAGAAATGGGTGTTGGTCCACTTGAATGGTTTTTAGTAGCATCAGATTTTGCAATATGTATTTTACAATGCTCTCTAAGGATATTTTTGGTATAAAAAAGGCCACAAAACATGCACTTTTTCAAAGTATTGGATAGCGGTTTGTCAGATTGTTCTTGAATGACACCGTTTATTGTAACAGGTTCATCAAGTCCTGGCTGATCATTCTTAATGTCCTTTGATTTTCTGTTCTTTTTCCGTCCCTTCAGTGTCCCACCATGTGTTATTGCATGGGTTTTTAAACACCAGGTCTTCTTGCATCTTTTTCCACAGTTTGAACAATGATATGGGTATGCATCCCTGTGTTTAGTCAAGTGGCTTTCCAATTCCTCTGAAGTAGAACAGGTGTATGGGCACACCTCACATTCAACAGGTTTGTTGTCACTGTCTATATTAGTGGTGGGATCTTCATTGTGGCCTAAGGAATCTTGGTCGAGACCTTCCCCATCTGATTTGACACCCTCATTATCAGAACTGAGGCACTCATTTTCAGGAGCAAAAGCAGTTGAATGCTGATGGACTATGAGATGCTCTAGAAGTTCTTCATTGCCTCTAAAAGTTGTCTTACAAAATGAGCAGGCACAAAGAAGACATCCCTCCATCTGTGCAGAAGACATTTCCTGGGGAGGTTTTGGTGAACTGGTACTGTAAGATGCTAATTCAAGGGTTGAAGGTGACTCAGCTGAACGACCTAGACTTTGAGTATCATCCGTGAACTCTGAAGCGGACTGAACTGGCATCTTTGGCACCAGGTTCTGAAATTATAGTGGTATCTTTTTGTGGTGTAATTTCTCTGCAAATGTTTTATAATCACATGATGAGTATTTAAAAATAATGACAGGTGCGAAGGTAGACCAGAACGTTCAGTACTGCTGCAAACTCAGAAATCCAAGATGTCCACAACTAAAATGAAAAACAATTCTACATGAATTTCAGGTTCATTCAATTATAAGCATTATCATGCAGAACTTACAAATGCACTTTGGAATTTCTAAAGTAAATCAAATTCAGTGACCAAATTCCAATGCATTTTCTTGCAGCACAATACATTTGGGATTTAGAAATAAAATAATAGAGTTAAAAACTAAACAATGTGTTTGCTGAATTGAAAAAAAGATATGAAATATTAGTCCTGACAACAATGTGGAAAATGTAGTTTAAGAAAGTTTTAAAATGCAATACACACAGCAGAATACAGGGGGAGACACACACTGTAAAAACACAAGGGTAAATGACAGGTTATTGAAAAGCCTGATACATGGTCTACACATTCAGTTAGTTCCTGAGGATATGTTGGATTAAAATGGGGAGAATTCAGAAGGAGGATGTGACATACATACAATTTGCAAACCATTCCAAAAAGCCATTAGAAAATAAAAAATAATAATAATAATAATAATAATGTAGCATCATAATTTTTGGTAAAGTCAGTAAAGCTTAAACATTAAAAAGAGTAAATTGAGATGCATTTACAGCAGACCTGGAAAAACTTGGGGTATTAAAAAAAAAGAAAAAGTAACACTAATCTTATACTCAGCAGAATTTCAGATCTCCCCCCACCTCACATTTGCCTAGTTAGGCTGCAAATGTGTATCATTTAACCTTCCATTCATTCTGATATTGTGAGAGCAAATATTACACAAAAAGAGAAAAAATGATCTATAAAGAACTCAATGTTTCAACAGCTACATTCTAATTAACACAACAATATTACACAGCAACAAAAGGTAACCAAAGTTAAATAATTAGGAGATTAAAGTTTGGAGGAAAAGAAAAGTCACAAATGGAGCATTTTGCAAAGAAAGGCTAACACATTGCCAGTGTGGCTACAGAATTTCCAGGGGAATATTTCAAAATAAAATGATATTAGTTTATTAGCAGAGGAATTAATCAAGTTTGATACAGAAGAGCACTGAATGGAGTCTGGCCAAATAAACCAGAATGAGATTTAACAAAACCTTATTTACTTTGGTTGTGGGGCTGCTAGGTCTGTCTAGAAAATCACTATAACACTGCATGCACTAAGAAGGGACATAGAAATGCAATTTCTATTTACCAATTTACAAACAAATCCATTGTACAAACTGTTAGCTAGAAATAGTTTCACTTATTTTCAGGATATCATAGCTTGATACACAGTAATTCAGATACAAAGCAATCCTGTTTTGTCTAATCAGGTCTGATCACCTCATTTTTGTAAACAATTTGATTAACATTATCCTGCAGGAGGCCTATTGTTCATAAACACAAATCAGCTTTTTAGAGGCAAAAGCAAACTGCACTGAAAAGTTCAGAAAGTCCGTTTTAACCCCTGTGGTGCCAGGAGGATTCCCTTATCACATGCAGGCACAGACATGTGAGTGGAAGCACTGCTCACTCATGTTTATAAAAAAAATAAAAAATAAACAGCTAACAAAAGCACCCAGTGTATAAATGGATATAAAATAGAAACTCACTGTAGAATAGATGCAGTTGATTGATGAGATCAGCTCAGTACATTCTGTTGTGATCTAATACAAGCCCCAATCTGCAGACACACTAGAAGAATAAGAGACCAAGCCTGGCAGACATATTGCACAGAAGTGGGACTCCTCTTCACAGACACACACAGATGCATGCATGCATTAAGGAAGCCCTGTGGCCCAAGAAATTAACCATTGTCTTCCCAGGCTGCCATTGCACAAGCATTAGTCCATTAACATGCAGCAAAAGCATGCTGGGAAACTAAGAACTAACAAAAAGAAGAAAGTTACAGACACAGGGACCAGATCAAAAAAAACTAAACAAAGCTCTGTACCTTTAAAAAACAAACCCCCTAAATGCATCATAGGTCTAGTGTCACTGTGCTCCCCCGGGCCCCCCATCTAGATTCATTACAAGATAAAACCAAATACCCAGCAGCTGCAGGCAGGCTATAGGACAGATATCTGGCTATTACTTCCTTCTTTTCTAAGTTTGCTATTCTACAGCAAGAAGCAGTTTCCTACTTTGAATACTTTATGTTCGTTACAAATACACATTATCATCCAAAAGGCTGAAGAATAGATCTGCAATATGTTTAGAGCACAGCAATGCTAGAATAAAATGATAACAATAATAATAATAATAATAAATAATAATAGAGCAGCAATAAGGGACTCCTCACCTAGGGTATAGGGAACTTCAATCATATTCCAAAAAAGTGAAAAGACTCCCCAACACTTGCACAACAAACCTGCCCAAACCATCTATTAATTATAGACGCCAGTGAAAAGTCTGCTCAGAGATGCTGACTTCCTGTTGCTTTTTGTAAAGGACATAGGAGAATCCCCTCTCCTCCCCCCCCCCCACCTCTTACAGGAGGATAGCAAAGTTTCATTGTGTGCCAATAGCCAGAGCCATGTATAAAGTACACAAAAAGCATCCAGCAGCCACTGGGCACAAATTAACAATATTTACACACACCAGGAGAGGGAGATAATAAGTGATATCAATACACCCATGAAGGGATCTACAAATAAATTATCACACACGCATTTTTATACAGTTACTATTCTATGAAAGGCTGGGGAGGGGCTGCTTTTCGAGGGGGGGGGGATGGGAGGGGGGTAATTCTAGTAAGTTGGAAATGGAGAAATAAGGCTTATTTTATTATCTGCTTTCTGTTTGTCTCAAGTATATAGTTATTTATTATGATCTACTGTAGGAGTGTATTATGATTATACATCAAACTGTGATTTTATATCTATTGTGCATAAAGCTCATCTCTAGAACAGACTGCACTATAACAATATTAAATAGCTATGTACTTATAACAAACTAACAAGTCAATGAAAGAAATAAACTTTATCCCTGTTTGTCCCCTAATGCAGTTTACAAAAATGACCCCCTCCCCTGCTCTCCCTCCCTCCCTCCCCATTGTTATCTACACAACAGGAATATCAGTAACTATTCTACAAGCAAGCAGCACTGTTTGATCCATGGAGAAGAGGGTTTAAAAACAAATAATCTCTATAATAAAATGTTCCCAGTGTGTAGCAGGTACCAGTGTGCTCCCCATTAGTGCTGATCACTGTACCCAGAAAATAAGGGGGGCATGGATGGGGTAGGACACCTTGAAGACCCCCCATCCTCCCTATCAATGAAAGGTTAAGTAATAAAGTAAAACAATCTAGGCTTCTGGTCTCTCAGCATGGCTATACAAGGTTATCATAAAGCAGTTAGAAGTGGCAAGTTACCTGGAGATTTGGCTACCTTGGGTTCTTGTACCTGCTGCAGTTCTTGTTCAATTCATTTAAAGAACTCACTTCCTGATTGTCAGCCTAGAAGTGAATCTCTCTATATAGTGAGTCCTACTGGCCAATCCCCGCCCACTAATCACAATTACAATGTATCTTCCACAAACCTTTCTCCATAGACATTCCCTAGATCTGTCGCATGTGATTGGCCAGTCACTGGACACTGTTTACAGGAGTGATATGCTAATGCAATGTATTATCAGGGTAAAGCCAAAATATGTAGATACTCACTAACTGGATTCAAAAACAAAGCTCATGGCACTTTAAATATGCACTAAATCATTTCATATAGGTTATTGCTGTATTTAAATGGTTGCTTATATACCTAAATATAGATAATGGACTATACTTATCCCTCTCTAGTGAAAGATCTAATATTTTCCTATATTAAATAAATAAATCCAATAAGCATATCTCACATGGTGACAATGTCAGTGACAATAGCCTGATTGCATTTTAGTTACTGGACCTCAAACTGTTCAATAAACCTTAAATTATAGTGAATTCAAAATAGAATGGTAACCTATGGGCTAAAGTGTTTAAACAGTGACTGTAGCTTTCTTAGAGGATTTTATTCCAATCAGCTTTTACAGTCCAGTTTCAGCTGAGTACAATTCATGTTATAACACATCACTTATTTGTTTATAAATGAACAGCATTGAGCACAAGTCACTCTATAACCCTGGTCCCCAACTTCCATGGATTTCTAGATTATACTTGGGACAATTCTTCTCTTACACACACACAAACAATGCCTCAACATACACTTAGTGAGACACAAATGGTTAAATGGAGCAAAATGGCTGAATCTACAAAATGGTGGACAGTAATTGTACTCTATAAACATAGCTTTCATTTACAGCATACATTCATATACACACTGCATATAGTATACACTCCTATAATATACAGCATATACACACTGCATACAGTATACACTCCTATAATATACAGCATGTACACACTGCATACAGTATACACTCCTATAATATACCGCATGTACACACTGCATACAGTATACACTCCTATAATATACAGCATGTACACACTGCATACAGTATACACTCCTATAATATACAGCATTTACACACTGCATACAGTATAGACTCCTATAATATACAGCATATACACACTACATACAGTATACACTCCTATAATATACAGCGCTTACACACTGTATACAGTATACACTCCTGTAATATACAGATTATACACACTGCATACAGTATACACTCCTATAATATACAGCATATTCCCACTGCATTCAGTATACACTCCTATAATATACCGCATTTACACACTGCATACAGTATACACTCCTATAATATACAGCATATACACACTGCATACCGTATACACTCCTATAATATACAGCATGTACACACTGCATACAGTATACACTCCTATAATATACCGCATTTACACACTGCATACAGTATACACTCCTATAATATACAGCATGT